CAAACTCAGATAAAGCTCAACACTTGTTCGAGTTTACTTTGATCCCTCGTTCGGTCAAGTAGAATCCGAGGAACTTTCCCACCTGTACACCGAAGGTGCACTTCTCCAGGTTGAATCGCATCTTGCACTTTATTGCCGTTTCGAAGACCTTCTTGAGGTGGACCGTGTGGTCGACCTCGATGCGCGATTTGACGATCATGTCGTCCATGTAAACTTTGAGCATGTATCCAATCTCTCCCTATAAGACTTTGTTCATCATCCGTTGATAGGTGACACCGACGTTCTTCAGACCAAAGGGAATTACATTGTAGGAATAGTTGTCTGACTCGGTCATGAAGGTCGTGCCCTATTTGTGGGCCTCAGCCATGGGGATCTGATTGTATCCCGAATACGCATCCATGAAGGACAACAATTTAAATCCCATCGAGTTGTTAACGAGCTTGTCGATGTTGGGGAGGAGATAGGTGTTCTTAGGATATGCCTGGTTAAGATCTGTATAATCAACATACATCCTTCCCTTTCCATTATTCTTTTTGACCAATATAACATTGGACAACCAGGTTGAATACCGGGCTTCTAAAATAAATTTTTCCTCTAAGAGGTCTTTTACGGCTTTTTCAGTATCCGCCTACTTTTCGGGGGATTGCTTACACTTACATTGTACTACGGCCTTCGCGGCAGGGTTGATGGAGAGCTGATGGCAGGCGACCTCGGGGTCGAGACCGGGCATCTCGGAAGCACTCAAAGCGAAGAGGTCGGCATTCTCATGGAGGCAGACCTTTAGCTGCTTCTTCGCCAGGTCGGGCAACCCAACCTTAATCTTCATGTTCCTTCTCGTATCCTTGCCGAAGGCCACGAGCTCGAAGTCCCCGTCTGGAATGAGGCGTGTTGGGTGGGAAGGTTTCCCGTTGACCGTTGGAGGAACATGCTCGAATTCTGCTTCCTGGTCCTAATCACCGGGGAAGCGGCAATCGAGGTCCACGAAATCGACGTGGTCTTTTGGCTTCTGCTCTTCGATGGGTGAAGGTTTCTTGATCGCCTTGATAGAAGGGCCGATGGTGCTGAGGCCCTTCATCGCTGTTTCAAAACATCTTCGGGATGCCTCTACGTCACCGTTAAGGGTGACAACACCTCCCCTCCTGGTGTAGTATTTCATCTTAAGGTGGATCGTTGATGGCATTGCAGTGAGGTCCACCAAGATCGTCATGCTTAAGATGTAGTTGTACAGTGATGGGCACTCGACGACTATGAAGCGGATGTTGATTTCGCTGGCCGTTTCATTTGTCCCGAAGACGACCTTGAGTTCCACATACCCCCATGGCCTCGTCGTTGTCCCGTTGAACCCTTGGAGGTCGGAACTGACATAAGGATTCAGATTGGTCTCGTCGATCTGCAACGTTGAGAACAAGTGGTGTACATGATATCCACTGAGCTCCCCCCGTGGAACAAGATGCGGCAGACATCAAAATTTGCCATTTGTCTCCGGATTAGCAGAGGAATGGCGACGTTAGGGGCTCCCCGGGTAGTTTCTCGAGGTAGTAAGTGATTGGGTTAGACAGACCGTGGAACTTGTCGAGGGTGCTCATCTTGCTGGAGTTCTTGCTCATCATCTCGTCAAATTTCCTTTTCATGGACCTGACGGAGAGTTTTTTTGGGGCCCTGCCGGAGATGACCATCGCGGTGGGGAAGTATTCCCATGGGCTGATTGGGCGTATTGGTTCCTCGAGAAAATTGAGTTCGGCAAGAAAGTTGAGTTCTCTTAGAGAGAAAAAGTGTCTGGGGCGGGTTATGCTGAGGGCCACTTGCAGTCTGGTGTCGTTGGCGGGCGGAGGCACGTCTTCAACCCTTTTGGCCTCATGCGCCTCTTGTCGAGGGGCTTCTCCTCCCCTGGTATACCTTTTCAAGTGCCCGTCCTTGATGAGTATCTCGATCACATCCTTGAGATGGATGCAATCCTCGGTGACATGTCTGTGGCTGCCGTGGAAGTGGCAGTACATAGTCTTGTCCACATTAGCTTTGGGAGGTGCCGATTTAGGGAAACAAACACCTTCCCTTACGAGCTCTGAATTGGTGCACTAGGCCAGGATGCACTCGCGGGAAGAGATGAGGGTCATGTACTTAGTGAACCGGCCTATGGAGCCTCTATATTCTCAGGGTTCCCGAGGACGATCCTCTTGTCGTCGGTCTCCACTGCGCTGGGGGGCTGGTGTTTCTTCTTCCTGAGCGTCGCGAGCAGCTTCACGATTCCGAGAGTCTCTGGCGAAATTAGCAGCTTCGGTCTCTTCGAACCGGATGTATGCTCGGGCCTTTTCGAGGAGGCCTTGGAGGGTGGTTGGCCGGTGGATTACTACGGCCTCAGCGAACTTAGAGTCGCAGTGCAGCCCTTGCTCCATGAGGTATCGCTTCATGTTGTCGAAAGTAGTTACCTGGACTGCCTCTATGGTGAACCTCTCAATGTAATTCCTGAGAGACTCGCCCCTGGCTTAGATTATCGCGCCCAGGGATGCTTCTGTCTTTGGATGGCACCGGGATGCCATAAAGTGTTGTGGGAAAAGATCTTTCAGCACTCTCCACGAGGTGATGGATTCAGGCTCCAGGCTCTGGTACCATGCCATGGCTCCCTTTCTCTGAGTTTTCAGAAAGATCCTACATTTGATGGCTCCTCGGACGTTCCGGTAGTCGAGCATGGCTTTGATGTCTTCCAGATGGTCGTCTGGTTCCGTCGTGCCATCATAGGCGGAGAGGGCGGACGACTTCTCCACCCGTGGGGGATATGAGTCTCCATGATGTCTTGTGACAAGGGAGTTCGATGGTTGTCCTCGTCACTTCAGATAGGGGAGTACGAGGGGGAAGGATTGAGTCGAGTGGGCTAGCCGCGACCCTTCGCCCTCTTGCTCGGACCGTTAGGTATGCTCTTCCTCGGGGTCGGGGAGTGCCTATCCTTCTGGGGAGGTGACCTCTCGCGCTTCTTGGAGGCCATGGTTTGGGGCCTCTCGCGCTTCTTGGAGGCCTCGGGGTCCGAGAATCCTCGCATTGGGATCTCCGTGAGGGAGATGTTGGTTGTGTCTCTCGCAGTACGGGAGAAAGGCTTCGGGCGGGATGACAGTGTCTCCGTGGAGGAAAGCGAGATGAACGATCCTGTTCTAGCATCCCGATACGCTCGTTTTGCTAGAACATCATCAAGTTGGTCTGGTTGATGGCCGTAAAGAGGGTCGTCATCATCGGATCCGCACCTGCTGGTGTGGGGACGGGCTGGAAGGCAGCTGAGCTCCTTGCTCGAGGGCGATGTTGCGGGTCGCATCGTCAGATGAAGGAGAGGTTGTTTGCCAATCCCTAATGTCACCGTCATGGTCGTTAACGAGTGCACCATAATCTTCACTATTGGTGAGCGGGTCGAAGGCGGAGTTATGGACAACATCATCGTGGCGTTGGCTGGCCATGATCGCAGAAGTTGATGAAAACTTTAGTTCTATTGCTCGGAAGAACGAGGAAGCTTTAGTTTCCCACAGACGACGCCACTGATCTCACCTGATCAGAAGGAGTCATTGGTCGACCAGACGTTTGAGCTGTCTGACTGCTGGGAGAATGGAGGGGGTGTACCTGAAACACACTCCGATGCCAAAGTAATAGTCGGGCAGAGTGATAACAAGTACAGAAAGAGAAGTAGAATGAGATTACATGACCCTCTAGTGAAAGAGGGTATTTAAAGTGTGCCCTCAACATAGGGCCAACAATTACTTCGCGTTAGGTTGGGTTGCCAGGCCCAATGCTGGTAACTGCTAGGGCTGACATGACGTCAGGAAGACCAGCACGTGATCTTCGCCCTAGTGTAATTGCTTTGTGCTATCCGGGAGGTGGAAGACCGAATAATCAGGACACATGTAGTTACCTAATGACGTGTCTCCGCGTAGGGGATACGTTGAGAACGTAGGGGAGGTTAGAGAAGCCCTCCGAGCTGGATAGGGTCTTCCCGACGGTTGGACATAAGGGAGAGCGTGCCTGACAAATGTGAGGTGCTTGCTCGACTGCCAATAGGTTCGTGTCTGACATAAGAAAAGGGTTCTGACCGACGGGATAAAGAGATCTGCTTGGCGAGGAGGCGGTTTAGGTCTTATTGGGCCTTCCAACCCGATGTAGGGTTGGGTCTGCTCGACTGTGGGTCAAGTGCTGACCCAATCCAAAACATGTAGTATAATGTCGTAGACTATTAAATGTGGATCTTAGACCTATAGTTGAATACTTAGTGAAAAAAGATATCATATTCTGTCACATAATGACAAGATTGATCCCGAGTCAATAAAGCAATCTTTGAAGACGTGCAAAACAGCCTACAACACATGGCCTCACACTTTTTCATGATTAAACGATGAAAAAAAATCTCCATACATATTTTACAATTAATTTACAATTAAATAGAGTTTCTTAAAAAAAATTCACAATTTAATTAAAACTAACTTCAACTTCTTAAAAAAAAACCTCTCAAAAGATCGAGATAAATCTGTGAATGAATAAAATATCTATCAAATTTTAAAACTTTTACTCCTTTCGATAAGAAGGTTACTGAATGTTATGATTAAACTAGATGTCATGCGTGAGTTATCTAAAAAGAGAAATTTGCAAATTTCTTTAACATAGAAGAATCCCATCTTTTGCAATTGTTAATAAGATTAAAATTCTTTTTCAGTGGTGACTTACTGCTTAAAATCCGAATATGTTTTTTTAACATCTATCTTCTTAGTGATCCAACTTGTGTGTTTTTAATGATTATTTTATTGAACAACATTTTTGTTATCATTGTCACATCATTTGTATTTTTACAATATAAAATATTTCCTTATGTTTTTACTATTGTCACCTCTTGTGCTAGTTAAAATATGGATTCCACGCGTGATAAGTAAAGACCTAGGTAGTTACATTCTAATCGAATTGAAGTGAAGTGAAGTGAAGATGTTAGGTTGAAGGAGGAGTTACATACACAACACAGGAAGCAAAGAAAAAAAATGGCGGCGTGTTCATCTTCATCACCGGCGACAGAGGAAGAGATAACACTGAAAGTGAAATGGACCGGAAAGGAATACACCGTTCGAGTCTGCGCCGATGACACAGTCGGAGAACTCAAGCGTCGTATATGCGAAGTAACCAACGTTTTACCCATTCGTCAGAAGCTTTTGTACCCTAAACTCGCCTCTAAACTCAACGATGATTCTCTCTTACTCTCTCAGCTTTCTATCGATCTCAACAAGTCGTCTCTCAAATTCACCATGATCGGGTACGCTTTCTTTCGTTTCGTTCCGTTCTCTCTTTCTTAGGGTTTGTTTGTTACTCGATTTATCAATTTAATCAATTATTTTTACTACAACAGTACTACGGAAGAGGATTTAATAGTTGATCCAGTGGATTCACCTGAGATTCTCGATGATTTTGAACTTGCTCAAGAAGAAGCTATTGATACCAAAGATATGCAAGTTAACAAGCAGAAATTGACCAGACGCATTAATCACTTCAAAGTACTACTACTATCTCAATTTCATTTCTTTTATTTCTTCTGCATTTTCATTGAGCAAGGTTTTAAAAAACTGTAGCAAAAACGGCCTGACAAAATGGTATCGGCAGGTACCGATACCAATACCGTTATTTACCGTTTTATGTTGAAGAACAAACTGTGGTTAAACTTTAGTTAATTCACACTGCATCGACCGCAATTGCGAAAGACTTTATGTGATGCAATGCGACCGCATCGCGAAAGACTTAATGCGACTGCTACCGCTTTTTAAAATGATATTCAAAAGTTGGAGGTGGTTAATTCAATTCACATTAAAAATTGTGTTGAATTCATTTACACTATTACCACATTTCCATAGTTTTGAACAATCATCAACTCAACCGAATTTATCCTGATTTATCATGTGATTAGTCAATGTTGCGACTATAAGGAAATTGGATGTCCATGAAATATTTTTGTTTGGTTTCAATGTTTGTTTACAATATAGATTAAACACAATTTTAATTGCGGTGTCATTAAGATGTTTTGACTTCAATTGTAGCTATTTCTAAAGTTAGTCATAAGATTGTTTATATAGTGTATCGAAATTAAACCCTTACTATATTATATGATTATAATAATGCAGGTTGAGATTCAAAACCCTTGTCGCCAAGGAAAGAAACTTCTTGTTCTGGATATTGATTACACCCTTTTTGATCATCGATCTACCGCCGAAAACCCTCTTCAACTCATGAGACCTTGTATTGCATTCTCCACTTAATTGTTTTGCATTCATTTATTTGTTTAATTACTTCCTCCATTTCGTATATTTGGTGGTGTAAGGACTTTATCATTGACTGTTTTACAAATTCTTTTTTGTCAATGCAAAGAAGTAAGAACATAAATATATTCTAAGGGTGTGGATGGAAAACATAGGTTAAATATATCTTGAATTTCTAAAATATTATTGTTTTGAAACAAAAATAAGATGTCAACTCTACCAAATATTTGGAACGGAAGGAATGCTATTTACTGTGTTTGCAATTCGGAGTGCAATGTTTTTTTTCTTCTTTGCAGACCTTCATGAGTTTCTAACAGCAGTTTATGCTGAATATGACATTATGATATGGTCTGCAACAAGGTACGTTAATTTATTCCCTTGTATCAAAATTTTGGTTCTTTTTGGAGAATATAACACTTAGGGTATGTTTGGATTTTTAGTATGAGATGGAATAGTATGAGATGGAATAAAATAGAATGGAGTGGTAAATAATTGGATTCTATTTTTTGAATTTGCAAATAATGGATGAAGTGGAATAGAGCATAATGGAATCCACTCCATCCAATCCTCCATTTTTTATTCTATTTGAATTGGAGTGGGATTCATATTTCATTCCCTTCCGCTCCATTCCATTCTATTATGTTCCGTTCCATCAATCCAAACATGGATTTGGATCCTCTCCCGTGAAAAGTTCACTAGAGGCAGTCCAGTATGCATATCCACCATCCAATTATTTTTTTTAATATTCTAATTAATATAATATAAAAAAATTGAAGGCTGGGATTTCACTGAATATAAATTTCGTGGGAGAGGATCTCCCCCCATCCAAACATAGCCTTACTGTGATTCACTCACTGCAACTGAGGCACATATATTATGCTCCCTATAATTGAATGAATGTATGCATGTTTCATCCGATGCTTTGTTTTTTGACTTGCAGTATGAAATGGATTACCCTCAAGATGAGCCAACTTGGGGTTCTGGACAATCCTAACTACAAAATCACAGCATGTCTTGACCACTTGGCAATGATCACTGTCCAGACAGCTTCTCGTGGGGTCTTTGATTGCAAACCACTTGGTTTGATCTGGGCTCAGTTCCCTGAGGTATGTACGATGCCATATATCTTAATTATGCAAAGTAAATAATAGAATTGGGTTTAGTATGTTTGTTCTATCATAGTCATATTCATACTTTTCCATATATGGCCGACCGCAAAGTTTACATTTTTATCTGGGGAGAAATATGACAACTGGAATAAGTACTATTACAAAATCTTCCTGATAAACTTAAAATGATGTTCAATGTTTGTTAGTGGGGATTATACAGTATATAATATAATCCTAATTGGACTATGGAGCATGTTGATATAAGTTAAACTAAATCGCAAACTGTAACTATCTGGTTTTGAGTTTTCTAGTTTATTGTTAGAATTTTTTTTTTGCAATAATCAGCCATGATCTGTTTATCTTGATAGTGTTTTTTTTTTTCTTGTTTTGTTTCAGTTCTACAGTGCTTCTAATACTATTATGTTTGACGACCTTCGAAGAAATTTTGTGATGAACCCGCAGAATGGTTTGACAATTAAACCGTTCAGGAAGGCTCATGCAAACCGAGACAGTGATCAGGAGCTTGTGAAACTTACCCAGTACTTACTAGCCATTGCAGAGCTTGATGATTTGAGTCACCTTGATCATAATAAATGGGAGTCATTCTCGGAGGACACTGGTAAAAGGCGTAGGCACAAATGAGTGATAAATAGAAAACAATAACAGGAATTTGGTAAGCAAGAAGAAGCTTCTAACCTTATATACAAAGCTTGGATCAAAGCGGGGTTGTTTCCTTATTATGTTGTTGCATAAGAAATGTTAAAATGCACTTATAAGGTGATTAATTTATTCTATTTCTGGACAATGCGTAATGTGCTAGCTATTGAATTGCCTTATAAGAAAGGTTGTTTGTGGTTTTTATTATTTGTTTCACTTAAATTATTTTGCCTTACAAAAAGTAATATGCAAGTTCAATATTTTCTATATGGTTTTTGGCCTTGTTCCTGTATTGTATTTTATGATTCGGATTTCATTTCTTTGCATAAAATGTTTGCAATATGTTTGGAATCACGATAACGCTGATTTTGTTGAAAATTTCAAATTATTTTACAGCTAAAAAAAATACAAATGAAAATGTATATTTTAAATTCGGTAAATCTGGTAGATATTATGAGAGCAAAGGACAGAAAAGTACTATTATTCTAGTCTGAAAATTAAAGTAATTATTCTTCAAATAAATACTAATTTATAATGTGACAAATAACATAATAATACTTAAATATTACTAATCTGTTAATCTACATTAATAATTATTAACACTCCCTTAAATTGACATATATATTTTATTGCAAATTTGTTCACTAAGTCTTCAAATTTTCTTGAGTTTTTGTGAGAAGATTTGCTATTTGACTAATGGATGGTACATTCGAAATACAAATCTCACCACTCACCACTATTCTCTTTTCATGCTGTGTTTGTTCACTTCAACATGTTTCACTCTATCATGTAGGATAGGATTATGGGCAAAAACGCAAAAACATAGTCGTCTTATTATCACAATAGATTATGATTGGTTTTGGGACAAAGATCTTCAAATCATTATAAGTTTTTCATCCAAAACACTTCACAAAAAATCATGGGTCACGGAGCATAATTCAACATATGCCCTGCTTTTAACTACAATATTGTTTTTTTCTGCCTATAAGTAAGTTTGCACCTACAAGGTACAGAAACCTGAAATAGACCTCATATCTTTTATATTATTGTTGTGTAAGCTTCAACTTTGACATGCCCTTTGTTTTTAAAATCAATCCCTTTCTTAAAGTTTCTTTCAAACATCTCAATATTCTAAAAATAACTTCGAAGTGAGTAAGTCTTGGTGCATGAATAAATTGATTTATCTCATTTATTATAAAGGCTATGTCGGACTTTGCATGTGACAAATAAAATAATTTTTCATCTAATCATTCATAGCATTTTTTATCTACCATTCGCCTTCACATGTTACCTTTAATTTTGTTGGAATTCAACCACGATCTATGGTGAATTCTTCTCAATTTTGACTTCAAGATTGTTATGTAATAACAATGAACAACAATCAAAAACACATTTAAAAAAGATGAGTATGAACTGCAGAATAACTCTCTGTCCACAACTATGAAATTTTATTATCACTTTACAACGGTAAAATTGTGATTATCAAACTTGATGATTACAATGATAAGGGTTCCTCCCTATTTATAGATTTAGGTTAACTTGCATCTCCAGCTAAAACACACTATAAAAGCCCAAAAAATATCTAATATAATATTTCTAATCAAATCTGATCTTTCTAAATCAAATCTAATATTTCTAAAACAATGAGTTACATATTTAACACACCACATAATTCATTATGTCTAAATTATCCACATTCATCATAGACCTTAACTTCTTGAACACTTCGATTGACACTCCCTTCGTCATGATGTCTACAATCTGATTCTTAGTTATGCAGTGTTTCGAGTTCATATTCCCTTCTGCTACATGCTCTCGAAGATAATAGAACCTCATTTCGATGTGCTTGCTTCGACCGTGTGCTATTGAATTCTTCGTCAAGTTGATAGTTGAAACGTTGTCGACCTTCATGGTAATTGCTCTATGACTCAGTTGTGCACTTCACAAATTTTATCTCCCTTAGAAAACGGTCGATCTTCTTATTCCAAGCTCTTGGAGCTTGCTTGAGTGCACACAGAGCTTTATGCAACCTGTACACCTTCCTTTCTTCGTGTTGTTTCACAAACTCAACTGCTTGTGCAACATAAACTTCTTCGTCTAAGAGGACATTCAGGAATGCACTTTTCACATTCATCTGACATGTGTGCCAATTATTCATGTTTGCTAGACCAACAACCAACCTGACTGTTTTGATCCTAGCAACAGGTGCAAAAATTTCGTCGAAGTCGATTCCTTCCTTCTGTAGAAATTATTTCGTCACAAGTATCTCCTTGTGTCGAGTTACCTCTCCTTTAAGATTCACTTTCACCTTGTAAATCCACTTCACATCAATTGCCTTCTTGCCTTGAGGCAATTCGACAAGTGACCAGGTGTTGTTGACTTCGATGGACTCTAACTCCTCATTCATTGCTATCACCCACTTCGAATCTTTCAATGCATCAACTGCATTGACTAGTTCGGCATATGCGCAAAAAGCATAATGTACCAGCTCACCCTCTTCATCGACCACATCATCTGATGTAATCACACATTCTTACAACCTTGCGAGAATGTGTCTTGTTCATCGAGGTCTGCTTGGGCCTGCTTCATATCTGACTTATTCTTGTCGAACTTCTCTTTCGACTTCAGTGGCTGGTTCTTCACAAGAGATTCTCACTGAATCCTTCTTGACATTCTCAGTCCAATCCCATTATTTAAGTTCATCTATGATCACGTCCATGTTGATCACTACTTGCTTACTCATTGGGTCGAACAACTTGTAACCTCCAGTCGAATGATATCCTATCAAAATCATTTGATTTGACTTGTCATCAAGCTTCCTTCTTAACTGAAATGGAACATGTCTATGTGCTATAGATCTAAACACCTTCAAGTGACTGAGGCTAGGCTTGACACCAGACCAACATTCTTCTGGTGTGGTTCCTTTAAGATTCATCGCCGAATATGTGTTTAATATGTATGTTGCTGTCGAAACCACTTTTCCCCATAATTCTTTGGGTAGATGCTTTCCATTTAACATACTTCTCACCATGTTCATGATGCTTCTGTTCTTCCTTTCTGCAGTTCCATTCTGCTGTAGAGTGCAGGGTGGAACCACCTGATGCACAATCCCTTCTTTTTCACATACTTCATCAAACTTTTTCAACACATACTCTCTACCACCATCAATTCTCAGAATTTTCAAATTTCGACCACTCTGTCTTTCGACCATAGATTTGAATCTGGAAAATATCTCGATCGCATTACTTTTCTTCTTGATGAGGTAAGTCCATATATTTCGACTGTAATCATTTATGAACGTGACAAAATATATGTTTCCTGCAATCGGATCCACCTGAATTGGACCACATACATCAGAGTATATGACTTCCATAATTGCCTTCGACTTCCTTCCTACATCCTTGCTGAAGTTATTCTTGTGTTGTCTCGACTGAACACATTTTTCACATACTTCACTTGGAATATCGATTTCAGGTAATCCTGAAGCCATATTTATTCTCTTTAGATCTCCGATGTCGTTGAAGTTGAGATGGCCTAGTCGAAAATGCCATAACCACTCATATCTGCTGATTGCAGTTGTTAGGCACTTGTGCTCCATCACATTGAGTTCAACCTTGAAGGTCCTATTATGAGACATTGAAGCCTTCAAGATCAACCTACCACCTGCGTCGAGAAATCTCATCATCTTGTCTTCAACAACTACCTTGTAGTTCATTTCGACAAGCTGTCATATATTGAGCAGGTTACTTTTCATGCCTGGTATGTATAACACATTGGAAATTATTAATTTCTTGTCATCCTTCCTCACGATCTGAACTCACCAACACCTTCAGTTGCTAGAGTGTTGTCTTTTGCAAACTTCACTGTGTTCTTCGACGAGGGCTTCATGTTGACAAACTAATATTTCCTTCCAGTCATGTGTGATGAGCATCCTGAGTTCAAGTACCACTGGTCCTAGAATCTCTATTCGTCTCTTGTTGTGACCATTAGCAACATTTCTTCTTCTTCATGTTTCGCCAGCTTTGCATCAGTTTCCTGATTCTTCTTCTTTTCTGGACAATCAATAAAATGGTGATCATATTTCTGACAATTGAAATACTGAATGTGACTTTTGTCAGACTTTCGACCACCACCTATTCCTCTACCTGCAACATCACCTCTTTGGTTGCCTTGGTTCTAGAGTTTTCTCTAGTTCAACCAGTTTCCTTCATGTTGATTTTGACTAGCCGTATTGGTGTAGTCTCCTCTACCTTTGTTGCCATTCTAGCTTCCTTTTCCTTTCCTTTCTTTTTCTGAATGCACATGCAAAGCCATATCACTCTTCGACTTTCTTGTAGCTCTTTCATCCATCCTTTGGTTATTAGACTCAAGTGTCCTTTGAAGCTCTTCCTTCGTCAATAAAGTCTTTCGACTCTTCTATGGCTACTACCACGTGATCGAATTTCAGAGCCAACGACCTCAAGATCTTTAACACAACTGATCTTGATGTCAACACTTCTCCACATACCTTGATTTTATTCACCAACTTTGTAACTCTGGTGAAAAAATCTGTTATACTTTCATTGTCTTCCATCTGAAGCAATTCATAAGTTCTTTTATGAGTTTGTAACCTCACATCTTTCACCTTCTATGCGCCTCCAAACAATTTTTCAAGAATCTCTCACGCTTCCTTTGTTGACTCTACATTACTAATCTTTTCAAAGTTATCTAGATCAATACATTGATGGATTATAAAGAGAGTTTTATAATCTTTCTTCTTCAATTCTTTATATGATGCTTTCTCCTGATTTGTCAAAGTTTCTGCAAGCGATGATAATCCCACCTTCACAAGATCCCAAAGATATTGGTAACAGAAAACTACTTTAATCTGCTTGCACCAATTCTCATAATTATCTTTCTTGAGAATCAGAAGATTTTCTGGAAAGTGATTGTTCGGGTGATTTATCGTCATCACAGTTGTTCTTCCCTTGAATCAAAACTGGAGT